TTCCGTAATTTCTACTTCTTTTCTCAGAATTGTGATTCATAAAGTCCAATTCTGAGGAAAAAAGCTCACCATTCTGATATTTTCTCACAATCGCGAGTCACCGTTCTGACTTTATAACTCACAGTTGATAGTTTAAAGTGCGCAATTCTGAGAAGAAAATCAGAATTGCAAGATGTAAACTTGCAATTGTGAAAAAAACAATTGTGAGAAAAGAAACTCTTATTTAGCTTTTTTATGTTTAATTCAGTAGCAGAAACAAGTTTCCATATGTTTCCCCTCCAATTCAAAAGAAAAAATTAGAACTGATTTAAGTAATGAGATTTGGGCACTGTCAGTGCAAAATATCTTAATAGTAAAAAAAAAAATTATATACATGTGTGTGTGTGTATATACATATATAGGCTTAATTTTCTTTTAGTAAATTATATTAATATATTAAAACATTATTTTTTTAATTAATTTTATATAAATTATAATATGCATAAAAAATAATATAAATCAATATATGTATAACGGAATACGATATCAATTAGAATACACTTTTACATATATTGTGTATATAGAGCTGGACATTTTTTCACACGGTTTGTGAGATTTAACCATTACCAGTTTGCACTGCAGTACACAGTTAAATCTATTCAAATCTACAGTAGCTGTTATCATTTTTCTATGTTGTAATGAGTGTAAAAACCATAGAGGAGTAAATGCTGGGACTATGCCTGAAAAGCGAACACCATCTCTTTCTGCTGTTTGGTTGTCTTCGCTGGCTTTTAAATCCATCACTCCTTCTCTCCTTCACCCTTTTTTTATGAGTGTTTTATTCACCTAGTTCCTTTATTGCAAATCGTAGGAGTTACTGTTTGCTGTGAAGCTCCTGAGCTTCCTTATCAGCTCTAGTCATAATCATGTGTGATTATGATCGTGTGTGTTCTTATTTTAAAAACATTTCAAAATAGTGGCGTTCATTGAGTGATAAAATACTTTTTCAGCAGCCTTGGTTCTGGAATAATTTTTCCCAATCATGTTCTCCATAGGGATTAAAAAAAAAAAAAGAATTACCATCAGAAACTGTGTTTAAGACTGTGTGTTTAATGTCTTTTGTGAGGCACTGAAACATTCTTAATGGCATAATTGAATCAAGCATGGTACACAAGTCATTTTAACTTATTGTTAACAATTATAAAACAATAGATATGAAAATTATTCAAAATATTCCTATATTCTCTCTACTATTCAAAAGTTTGGGATCAGTACGATTTTTAAATGTTTTCAAAGGAAGGATCTTATGCTGACTAAAGCTGCTTAAAAATATAGTAAAAACAGTGAACTATTGTTACAACTTAAAATGACAACTTATTACAACTTATTGTATTTTAAAAATGTAATTCCTGTGATTTTCAACATCATTACTTCAGTCTTCAGTGCCACATGATCCTTCAGAAATCATTCTAATATGCTGTGTTTTTTTTTTATGAATACATTTATATTACCAGTATATATTTGAAGTAGAACTCTTGTAACAGCAAACAATATTGCCTGTCATTTAGAGTTTCATCATTTTGATCAATTTTAATGTGTCCTTGCAGAATAAAAGTAATAATTTCTTTCAACAACAAACATTCTTAACCCGAACCTTTTGAACAGTATTGTATATATCCAAATGTAAGCTGTGTGAAAGTTTGAGACAGATTTTTTTTTGGCATTTGTAATGTTTTATTGCAGTGGACAGTCAATGATGAGCTTTTTTTAAAAAAAAATTTTATAGAGATTTTCATTTCCACAGTAACAGTGCATTTTTTGATTGGTGGATCTCTCCTAAGAATGATGGGTAATTTGGCTATTTAATGCTATTTTATATAAATGAAATTGAATCACACTACTTTGTTGTTTAAAATTAATTTCTCTATGGAGAACGTCTCGGTTACGTATGTAACCCTCGTTCCCTGAAGGAGGGAACGGAGACGTCACGTCGGAGGACCGACGAAATTGGGATCTCGCTTAGAGGGACCAATCTACTTCGAGTGTAAACATGCCAATGTGCATTGGCTCGTTTAGTTTACACTCGAAGTAGATTGGTCCCTCTAAGCGAGATCCCAATTTCGTCGGTCCTCCGACGTGACGTCGAGAGTGACCGACTGAAAGGGAACAGGAATGGGATTTTTTACCTCCTGAACCCGTTCTTTGTTATGGCTTGAGCTAATGAAGCTGGCTTCATGACAGCATAAGTGCAGATATATCACATCGTAGCTATTTTCAGAAGGTGTTAATGTCAATTTCAGTTTTATTTGCATCAACTTTCATCCTTTCTTTTAATGTTGTTCTCCCCCCCCCCCCCGACCTCTTTGTCAACACCTTACTATCAACAAACTACGTGTCTGTT